GCTCCCAGAAAGAATGTATCACTGTGGGGTGAAGAGACTTAGACACTTCGCAGAGGCCCTTGGCCTTGGCGTTTGGACCATGGCGAGTGGGAGAAAGGATGCCAGACCAGGTTGGGAACACTGTTTGAGCAAAAGAGGCTGGTAAGACCGCAGTGCATATGGGTGCCTGGGGAGAGTTGGAGATACAGGGTAGCTTGCTGGGAAGGAGCAGAAACTAAGTTGATGGGGTCATATCATAAAAATATCATGTTCTTCTTTTTTCCTATTAGAAGGACAAAAACACCCCAGAAAGAGATAAGTATGAAATGCAACTGGGAAACAAACCCTAGGAGAAGGCAGGTAGAAAAAACTCAGCTACTGCTACAGTGTGGTGATAAAAACCCAGCTCTGGACTCTAAGACGGGGTTCTAGACTGGGCTCCGTGGCTCAGCCTGTAATCCCAGCACTTTGGGAGGCCGAGGTGAGAGGACTGCCTGAGCCTATAGGTTCGCGACCGGCCTGGGCAACTTGGCGAGACCTCGTCTCTACAATAAAGTAAAAAAAAAAAAAAATTAGCCGGGTGTGGTAGCACATGCTTGTAGTTCCGGCTACTTGAAAAGCTGAGGCTGAAGGATCGCAGGAGCCCAGCAGTTCAAGCATGCGGTGGCCACGAGCGTGTCACTGCACTTCAGTCTGGGCGAGAGAGTGAGATTCCAACTCAAAAAAAGAAAAAAAAAAAAGACGTGGGTTCTGGCTCTTGCTCTGGCACTGAGAGGGATTTCTGTTGGTGAGAAAATTCCTTTAGTTCTGTGGGCCTCATGCCACCAGAGTGGAGGTGTCTGAGTGCAGCGTCAGCTGCATTTATAAAGAGCAAGACATGCCATGAGTGTGAGTCTTTTTTGTTTCCTTATTTATTTTTTATTTATATAGAGATGGGGTCTTGCTATGTTGCCCAGGCTTGTCTCAAACTCCTGGTCTCTAGTCATCCTCCTGCCTTGGTCTCTCAAAATGCTGGGATTACAAGCGTGAGCCACTGCACCCGGCTGATCCTTGATCAGAGTGAGCCAGGTACGTGGTCCTCTGATGAATGAAGGACATGCCGGGCTTGATGCTCATTGCCAGGTAAAGGATCTTACTTTGTCACAAAACAGTTTCACCAATTGCAAACAGGATCATATTGTATTTATGTGCCATAAAGTCACAATCTGTGAAACCAACCTTAGGTGGCCAGGTTCCTGCGTTTCTTTGAACTCTTTGCCTGCTACTAATTCATTCACATCCTTCTCAACAGGGTTTGCTAACAGACAAGATGTAGTGGCTGTTAAATGTTCAGACACCGTTTATAGGAGAAAACTTACAACATTCGGCCAGGCTTGGTGACTCAGCCTGTAATCCCAGCACTTTGGGAGGCCGAGGACGAGTGGCTTGCCTGAGCCCGCAGGTTCGAGACCAACCCGGGCAACTGGTTATCTCTACAATAAATCAAAAAATTAGCCGGGCGTGGTAGCACATGCCTGTAATTTTGGCTACTTGTAAGGCTGAGGTGGAAGGATTGCCAGAGTCCAGCAGGTTGATGCTGGGGTGGCCGTGAGCATTTCACTGCACTCCAGCCTGGGCGAAGGAGTGAGACTCCAACTCAAAAAAAGCAAAAAAATTTTTACATTCTATTTATAATTTTATGACCAAATTTTAAATGTTTTCTTTCTTTTTTTTTTTTTTTTTTTGAGTCGGAGTCTCACTCTGTCGCTCAGACTGGAGTGCAG